AAAATAATTAACTTTTCAAAAAAGAACACAAGGAAATACTAAAAAGTTTGTACGGAAGAACAAAGCAAGAATTAGTCAAGGACAGAACAGAGTGTCAAGACACAAGGCTCACAGGAGAACTCCCTGGCGCTGGCGGTAACTCAGTAGGATGAGGTGTCTCTTGGCCAGAGTCAGAGACAGAAGAGCCCAGCCCCAGCTCCTGACTCCTGACCCTTGTTTTATAAGATGAGCAGCTCAGGCAGCATTGACTTGGAATCTCCTCTAAGTACCAAGGAAACTAAGTCAGGTCCACATGGAGTCAAGGAAAGAAAGAGAACTCTGAAAGAATCCAAAGAGCTCGGGAATATAGGCCACTGTGGTAGTTTGAATGAAAATGGATCCACAGAGCAGACACCCACAGCTAAGCACTGAGCTGAACTCCTGGGGTCCAGTTGCAGAGAGGGAGGAATGATGAGCAAAGGGGTCAAGACCAGGCTGGAGAGACCCACAGAAACAGCTGAACTGAACAAGGGGGAGCTCATAGACCCCAGACTGATAGCTAGGAAACCAATATAGGACTGATCCAGACCCCCTGAATGTGGTTGTCAGTTAGGAGGCCTGGGCAGTCTATGAGGCCTCTGGCAATGGATCAGTATTTATCCCTAGTGTACAAATGGACTTTGGGAGCCCATTCCCCACAGAGAGATACTCTCTCAGTCTAAATACACATGGGGGAAGGCCTAAGCCCTGCTCCAAATGATATGACAGACTTTGAGGATCCCCCATGGAAGGCCTCACCCTCCCTGGGGAGCAGAAAGAGGATGAGACAGGGGGCCGGTGGGAGGTGGCAGGAGAGGAGGGGAGGGAGAGGGAGCTGGGATTGACATGTAAAACAAGCTTGTTTCTAATTTAAATTTTAAAAAGGAAAAAAGAAAGAAAATGGACCACAGGCCCATGGGCACTATTAGGAGATGTGGCCTTCTTGGAGGAAATGGTCACTGGGTGAAGGCTTTGAGGTCTCCGAGGCTCAAGACATGCCCAGTGGGACAGTCACTTCCTGCTGCCTGCACAATCAGATACAGAACCCTCAACTCCTCCAGCACCGTGTCCACCTGCGTGCCACAAAGCTCCCCACCATGAAGATAGTGGCCAGAACCTCTAACTGTGAGCCAGCCCCAATTAAATGTTCTCCTTTGTAAGAACTGCCATGGTCATGGTGTCTCTTCACAGCAATAGAAACCCTAAGGCATCCACAAACCTTAATCAGTTTTCTATCACTGTGACTGGAATACCAGAGGGAAACAACTTAAAAGGCAGAAGGGTTTATCTGGGCCCAAGGTTACAGACATTCCTGTCTGTGGCCTTTGCTATGGACCAGCGGTAAGTGAACTCAGCGGGGGGGGGGGCGCTGATCAATTCGGGGTGGCTGGAAAATATGGACACATCTCAGAAGCCTTGTCCCCTTCTAGGTCTACCAGAGGTTCCACAGCCTCCTTGAAGCACCACAAGCTGTTAAAAACAATGCCTTTAAAGGAAAGTCAAGCTCTAAGCTATAGCAGTGAGAGAGACATCCTTCTGATTAAATATTTTTATTATGTTGTGGGAGGGATGGTGTGGTATAGGGTGTGAGAGAGAGAGAGAGAGAGAGAGAGAGAGAGAGAGAGAGAGAGAGAGAGAGAGAGAGAGAGAGAGAGAGAATGTGTGGAGGTCAGAGAATAATCTTATAAGAGAGTTGTTTCTTTCCCTCCATCTTAGTGGGACTGAACTCAGGTTTCCAGGCTGGGCTGCTGAGCCATCTCGCCGGCCCTTTCTTTCCCAGTTTTGGGTAACAGAAGACATAACTGATTTGGAAATCAGGTGCTGAGCCCTCTTTCTGTTCTCCACACTCAAATGTGACCACACACATCATCTATCAAGGACCAGTCGATTCTGCTTGTGAGCACATCCTTATATATGAGTTAGTGTAAAAACCGAAGAAGTCTTCATGTTAGATGAAACAGACCTGGAGCAGACAGCCAGAAGTCACACATTTTCCTCTAGGGTCGAAACAGGGCACAGATGTTTTTTTTGCCAGCACTTGGAACTTTTTAAACGCTGTGCATAAGACATGTCACACCCAAGTGTTTGTAGAGTGGCTCCAAGACACCTAGAGCTGTCATTTCACACAATGTGGTTTATTAAGATGCTAGCCTTGGGCGGGGTGGTGGTGGTGGTGGTGGTGCACTCCTTTAATCCCAGCACTCGGGAGGCAGAGGCAGGTGGATCTCTGTGAGTTCGAGGCTGGGCTGGACCGACAGCCTCCAAAACAATACAGAGAAACCCTGTCTCGTAAAAACCAAAAAAAAAAAAAAAAAAGATGCTAGCCTCGGGCCTGGAGAAATGGCTCAGTGGTTAAGAGCACTTGTCTGCTCTTCCAGAGGCCCTGAGTTCAATTTCCAGCACCACATGATGGCTCACAACCATCTGAAATGGGATCTGATTCCTTCTCTTGGTGTGCATAAGTACAGAGCACTTATATACACAAAACACATGAATAAATAAATCTTTAAAAAAAAAAAGATGCTAGCCTCTGGGGTGGAGAGATAGGGGCACCACTCTGAGGTTGGATGTAGTCTTCATAGCCACTAAACATTTGTGTCCCCTCAAAATTTACAAGTTGAAATCCTAACCCACTGGGTGTGGTGGCATACATCTTTAATCCCAACACGGGAAGCAAAGACAGGCAAATGTCCATGAGTTCAAGGCCTGCCTGATCTACATACTGAGTTTTGGGACAGCCAGGGCTACATGGTGAGACCATGTCTCAAAATAAAATAAAATAAAATAAAATGTCTCATAATAAAACAAAACAAACAAAAGCCCTTTAGCTGGGCAGTGGTGGCTCATATCTTAAATCCCAGCATTTGGGAGGGAGAGGCAGGTAGATCTCTGTGAATTCGAGGCTAGCCTAGTCTACAAAGCTAATTCTAGGACAGCCAAAGCTACACAGAGAAACCCTGTCTTGGAAAAAAAAAAAAACAAGCAAACAAACAAAACTGCTAACCCTTACTGTGAAAACAGCCAAAGGTGTAATTTGCATCAAGTAAATGTACAACATGGCACCTGAGTGTTGAGCCCTTGCTGCAGGGTTAGTGCCCTTAGAATATACCCAGGAGCTTGTTTCCTGGGGACCCACTGAGCAGTTCTCAGCATGGGGCCTTTAAGCCTCAGAACTGTGAGGAATGAGTTGTCTGGGCTGCCCAGCTTATGGCAACATTTATGTGACAGCTGGGACATCAGAGCTTAATGAGTGTCTACAACTCACTGAGACCATGGGAGCCTTTAGTATGTCCACAGTGTCCAGCCCTCCACATTCCATTGAGAGGTGTCTCCAAGTTTATAGAAAATGAAGAAAAGTTAGGAAATTAACCTAAAACTTTTCAGAGAGGAAAAAAAAAAAATGGCTGAGTTACAGGCCTTCATTTGAAAGAATATGTCACTGCCACTTAAAAATAATATTTTGGGGGGGTTGGACAGATGGTTCAGTGAGTAAAGGCACTTGTCACCTGAATTCAATCTGCAGGGCCCACTTGGTGGAGGAGAAAATTGACTCCGCAGTTGTCCTCTGGCCTCTACATGCATACCACGGTACAGTGCACATGCACACACACACACACACACACACACACACACACACACACAAATGAATGTAGAAAAAAACCAATAATTTAAGGCAATATTTTTGATACAAGAAAATGCTAACAACTAAACACGGTGTTTTTTAAAATGATGATATGTATAACATGGGATTTAAAAGAAATTTAGGGAAACAAGACACGTTCTGAGTATCTATCTCCCTTGCTCAGGAGGACTCTTTCCTCTCATTGGGGTTTTGTAATATTCTTTACAAAGACTTGCATACTGTTTCTTTGTGCATGTGTGGTGTGCATGTCTAAGTGTGCATGGACTCACATGTATATGCAGGCTAGCATGCATATGGAGGCTTTAAGTTTACAGCAGGCATCTTCCTCAGTCATTCTCCGCTTTATTTATTGAGGCAGCCTCTCTTGCTGAACCCAGACCCCACTAGTTGTCTGGTCTAGCTAGTTAGCTTGCCCAGGGGCTTTCCCTGTCTCTGCCTCCCCAGTGCTTTGAAACAGAAGCTATTCGACACATCTAGCCCACACAGTCTTTGAACCAGCATGTTTGTGTGGGATAAATAAAAGGGTTTTTATTTATTTTTATTTGTTTGTTTGTTTGTTTTGAGTCATGGTCTCACTATGTGGCCCTGGCTGTCCTGGAACTTGCTCTGTAGACCAAGCTAGCCTTGAACTCACAGAGATCCTCCTGCCTCTGCCTCTCTGCCTCTCTGCCTCTCTGCCTCTCTGCCTCTCTGCCTCTCTGCCTCTCTGCCTCTCTGCCTCTCTGCCTCTCTGCCTCTGCCGTGTTAGAATCAAAGAGGTGCACCATCACACCAGGCTGGGTTTACATTTTTAAAGGTACATTTAAATATCTAAACGCTAGAGCACAATTACAACCCCAAAACACCAAATGCCCCATAAATCCCTAAAGTCTAAATAAATGGAGGCATGATGGGTCCCCTTGTTTTAGAGAAGAGGCTGGAGAGATGACTCAGCACTTACTGCCCCTCCAGAAGACCAGAGTTTGATTCCTAACACCACATTGGTGACTCACCCATGTGTATCCTTTGCTCCTCTTAAAGCTAGGTAAACGGCATACACACATAAAAACTTTTTTAATGTCTAAAGGATAATTTACTTTAAATTATGATTTAAAGATATTTAAATTAAAGATATTTTACTTGTTAAATGAATGACTATGACTTTTGTACTGCGAAAGTGATGGGTGGGGTGGGTGTCCCATTACAACAGGGGGTTAGCTTTAAAGCTAGACTGATGAAATTCACCTGTAGTCCCAGATATTGGGGAAGCTAAGGCAGGAGATTCATTTGAGGTTAGTCAGTGAGACATGGTAAGACCTGATTTCCGAAATCCAAACCACAAAAGGAGCAGCCACCTCACCTCAAAGGAATAGGCTTTCCCGATGCCATCTCCTGCTCCGGTGATCACTGCAAGAAACAGCGGCAGTCTTGAAGCAACAGAGCAACACATCTCTTTCTCACAGCTGCATTCTCTTGCACATCTCAGTCTGGAACTCTCAATACCACAAAGCCATGTTTCCCCACTCCAAAGCATCCAGCTTTTGGTAACCCCTGACAGAACACTGGAAATGAAGGGTTTCTCTCTCCTGTTTTTGGGGGGCCGAGGGGTCACGTGTGTAGCTTTTAAGAGGGGTCTGTAAATCTAGGAAACACACTCAGAAGTGCAGCAGAGCACTACGCCAACAAGCATTTTAGGTTTCTTACGGTTTGGGGGCAGTGCAAGCCTCAGCACCTCGAGGGCAAGCATGTACCCTGTTATTGTTTCACCCCCGCCTGGTGGTAACCCTAAGAACAACTCAGGGTTCCTCCTGAGAAGTGAAGTCTAGTTCCTTCCCTCCTCCACCCCACGGGACAGCAGCCCTCAATGCCCGTGGAAGATAGGGAGCCTAGCAAAAAGGACACAAGAATAAGGGGTTGCAGGAACCCCAAGGACTTCAGATAGTTAATCCTCAATACCACTATCTGCTAATACCCAACAGTCTCAAGGGTCGTTACACCCTTGACTCCCAAAATTAGAGACAGATTACTACAATTCACTACATATACACCTGCAATTGACTTTGGCACCGATTAAAGGGCACACTTAAAAAAAATGTTAATCAAAAAAATCCCATTAAGTTTTTTGAGCATGGATCTTAGGATATTCTCTGGGTGTTTTCCATCCTTACTACTGGGATTTTTGTTCCCTACTTGAAATATTTTCCCTGGCTGGCTTGTCTGTGCCTGAAGACATCACATATTTGCTCATGATAACATTATTCATTCTTGGCTCCCAAACAAGCTAAGATTGTAATTTTTTTCATTTTGAAGCCACAGAGTCTCTGCTTTTGGGGGAGTGTTCTTAGAGGGTCTAAGTGGGCAGGGGTTGTGCAGAGGTCTACTAAGCACCAGGCACATGGGCATTTTTGATCACGCACAGTGGGATATTTGGATCTAGAGCATGAGCTCAGGTGGCATAGTAAGTTGACTAGAGGCAGCAAACACATGTATGCACCATATATATGTGCACGTATATGTACAGGTGTGCACACATAGTGGAAGCATAAGAAGCATCAGTTAGAAACTCGTGGGTTCATCCTAAACAATTTCCCATACATTCATTTAAAAAAATCTATGACAAGGTTTGCAAAGTTGCCAGGTTTTAGTGAATAAGGGCATGCAATGCATTTAAAAGAATAAATTAACATTTGTATTTCAAAATTTTTAAGTACCCTTTAGCAAAATGGAAACATACTAGCCCAGGGTTTAGAAATCTGTAGATGAGGAGACAGTTATAGTTCTGCCTTAGCTATTATTTGTAATATCAGGAAAAATTCCAAAAAAAGGAGAAAATCTAGCAAAGCAAATGGGCAAAAGCTGAGGGGCAGTCTCCCTCCACCATCTCCTGACCTATACCTTGATTTTTCAGATAGTTCTGATTCCACTTGTGCAATCTAGCCACAACATTGCATTTTATGTGAAGTCACAGAGGTAGGTGTGACATAAGAATAAGAAACAGGAGACATAAGAATAAGAAACAGGAGCAACCGAATCAGTAAGGACTCAGGAGTCCTCTTACCTGCCCACTGTCCCATCGATCGCAGGAAAGACCTTGGTGAAACATTCCAGAAACTCAGTAAGAGGTACTGGGAAAGCCTCACGCACTTCAGCAGGCAAACCAGGCACACGAGCAGCCCCACGGAAACAAAGAGTTGCTCCATGGCCTCCCCGTGACTGTCTTGCTGGAGATGCTGCTGGGACCTGGCCCTTGCCCCCTGTGTGCCTCCCGGGGCAGGCAGCCTGGGGACCTGCCAGATCTCCTTCCGGGAGGGACTGGGTGCGTTCCATGTATCCGGGGGCATTCAGATTAGAGTAACTTCTTTATGTAACCTTGTGACTCACAGGCTTTTGAATCAAGTATTCTTCATAATATCTTTACAAGCACGGTTGGGCTTTAGTGACAGTGGAGTTGCTGCTGAGTGAAGAAGACAGTAGACTTGCAGAAAAGCAAAGCCCAGAGAGAGGTAACATGGCACCCTGGGACACTTGGGTCTGGAGTCTCCAAAGAGACTTGGTCTTGTGACTTGGTCTCCAAAGGTCTCTGTATTAAAAGCCTGATCCCCAGGGTGGTGTGACGTGTTGGTAGTGATCTGGGAGGTGATGGGACTTTTAAGAAGTGGGTCTACACCCAGAGATCAATACAGAAATTTCTCAGAAGGCTGGGAATCGATTTACCTCAAAACCCAGCTATACCACTCTTAGACATATACCCAAAGAATTCCCAATCAAACCACAAGGACACTTGCTTAACTATGTTCATAGCAGCTTTATTTGTAATAGCCAGAACCCGGAAACAACCTAAGATGCCCCTCAACTGAAGAATGAATAAAGAAAATGTGGTACATTTATACAATGGAATATTACTCAGCTGCTGTTGAAAACAAAACAAAACAATGACATCAAGAAACATGAAAGCAAATGAATGGAACTAGGAAAAAAAAAATCATCCTGAGTGAGGTAACCCAGAACCAGAAAGACAGATTGGTATACATTCACTTATAAGCAGATATTACCTGTAAAGTGAAGGATGACCTTGTTACAATACATAGGCCCAGAGAGGCTAGGTAACAAGGCTTGGGGGGGAGGGGGGGAGAAGGGTTGGCGTATGGATCTCCCTGGGTCTCCCTGGGAAGGAGAAATAGATCTCATGGGCTTACTTGGGGCAGGTAGGGACAGGATCAGGTTGCAGGGCGGCGGGAGGGTTGCTGGGAGGGAGAGAGTACTGAAGTCATCACTGGAAAGGGGAGGCAGAAATCTGGTACAAGGAAAACTCCTAGGAATATAAAAGGATGACCCCAGCTAAGACTTCTAGTAATGGTGGATACATAGACTGAATTGTGTGTGACCAGGCAAGAATTCCAGTGGAAGGATGACCTACAGACTGTCCTGCCTATGGGATGTGTGGGAGTAGGGGATGATGGACAGGCAGGGTTAGGGTGGTTCAGAGATTGTGGGAGTGGCCAACCAAGAACTGGTCCAGCCTGAGGCCCATGCCACCACAGTGAGCCCACCCCTGACACTGCCTGGAGTGCTAGGACCTAGAGGCTGGATGACCCAGATATACCTAGGATAGAACCAAACACAATTGGAGAAAAAAAAAGCCACATAATGATGCCTAATGATATTCTTCTATACTCATAGATTGGCAACTACCCGATTGTCATCAGAGAGCCTTCATTCAGTACCTGACAGAAACAGATGTAGAGATCCACAACCAAACATTAGGCTGAGCTGGGGGAATCCTGCTGAAGAAAGGGGAGAAAGACTATAATGTTATATAGACTGAACAGGCTATATTTAGCACTATTTATGCGTATGCATATACACACACACACACATACACATGAATGCAATTAACAATCAATGAAAGAACAGGCCGTGAATTTGAAAGAGGGCAACGAGGGGTATATGAGGGGCTGTTGGCAGATTTCCTCCATATTTGCCAAGCCAGATTTTGAGATTAAAGTCACCATTGAAAATACCTGAGCTAGTCATTTTAGTAAGTTGATTATCTGCTGTTAAATGATAAACTGCATGTGATACCCCAGGAAGCAGGAAAGAACTAGTGTGACATTGCGGAAACCAACGCAGTAGCACCAACTCTGTGTGTTCATATTTAAATTTAATGTAACTTAACTTAAAATTTAGCTCCTGAACTGCACCAGCCAGCCATTCCTGGCACTAGGTGACCGTTCCGGTTTACATTGTATGTCCGTGCAGGAAGTTCTACTGGACACTCAAAGTTTCCAAGCCATTTGGTTTTACTGTTGCCAAAACGATGAACCAAGAACTCATCTCCACCAAAAGTAGAGCAAAACGGATAAACATCCGTGTTCGGAACACACTTTTCCAGGGTTAGATGTATAGCTCAGCTGGTGGAGTATTTGCCTTGTATGTACAAAAACCTGTGTTTGATCCCAGCATAAACTAGGCATGGTGACTCACACCTGTAATCCCAGCATTCAGAAGTTCAAGGTTGTCTCTGGCTACATTGTGAATTCAAAGCAAGCCTGGGCTAGTTGAGACAATCTGAAAAGAAAAAATATAAAAGGGAAGGAAGAAGGTAGGAAGGAAAGGAGGGAGAGAGGCACAGAGGGAAGGAGGGAGGGAGGGAGGGACTAGAACACAGCTCAGGACCTTATTGTGATCACCAAATTAGTGGTCAGAGTAGACAGACTTCCTTGTGCCTGGTTTATAAAAATCCTGTCCACTTTTCTGCATTTGGTAGAATACTCACTGCTGTTTTTTTTTTTTCATAGAAAGACGTCATCATGGGGAGATCTGATCCGACTGTTCCAAGTTAATTTAGGGTTTTCAGTCATGAAGGATGTTGAATTTTGTCGCTGCCAATTTTATATTCACTGAGGCGGTTACTTAATTTCTCTCCATCCCACTTTTATGCTGTATATTACATTACCCCAGCAACCCTGGAGTGAAACCACCTTGCTCCTGGGGTTTTATCATTTTATCCTGTTGTTTAACTTGGTTTGTCGTCGTGTTTTACTGAGGATATTGCATCTGTATTCGTCGAGGAACTGTCTTCAGCCTCCTCTTTGTGTGTGTGGCATCACCACCCAGTTTTGGCATCAGAGTGGCAGGAGCTTCTTGCCATGAGGTTAGAAACTTCCCTTCCTTCCAGTCGTGTGGGATAGCATAAGAAGGTCCTAGCTCTTCTTTTGGAGATGTGGTACAATTCAGCGATTAATCCACACGGTACTTTGATTGTCTTTGTTGGATACCATTACTCTTCCAGCTTCATTGCTCACTATCATTTTGGGGGCCGCTTATATTCTTTTGGCTCACATATGTCTAAAATTTTAATCCATTTTTCCCTATGTTTTATAATTAATCAGGATACGCAGTTTCGATAATCCTCTGGATTTTGTTGGTATCGCTTAATATTCCTCCTTTATGCCTAATTTAAAAATTTGAGGTCTTCTCTCTTTTACTTGACTTGTCTAAGAGTCTGCCAATTTTTATCTTTTCAAAGAATCGTTCTGCTGGTATTGTATATTGTTCTTTTAGCCCCTGGCACAGCTGGAATTATAGGAATACACACCAACATGACTCCTGCTTTTCGCTGCATCTTTTGGCATTAAAGGGCCCCTCCAGCTCTAGTTTCCAGGTGACTTCCCTTATTTTTTTTTTGTATTTATCCTTTTTAAAACTTTTTGATTCTTTGTGGATTTCACACCATGCATTCCGATTCTGCTCATCTCCCTACCTCCTCGAATCCACCCTCTGCCCTTGCAACCTCCCCCCAATAAAAAACAAACTTAAAAGAAAAGCCAAACAAAACAAATAAAAAAACAAATCTTGTTCCGGAAGCTGTAGTGTGGCCCATTGAGTCACACAGTTTACCCCTTAGTCCATTCATCTTTACTTCACAAGGGTTCATTGCCACAGGTCATTAGTCTGGCTTGAGGCCTCTGGTTTCTGCTACACCACCCATAATGGACTCTCCTGGGGGCTCCTCTTGGATATCCTGCTGTTTTGGATCCGTAGGTTTGTCCCCTTCACATGCTCCAACAGTTCATAGACTCAGAGGATGTTGGGGTGGGCCAACTCGTAGCCCTGGTTCTGGGCCTGTGTGGTAACCGGGTTCGTCAGACTACCAGCTTTCCCTCATCATTACCTGGGAGAGCTCTCCAGCCTTGGCTAGTGCACCCAACACAGCAGACAGCAGGAAGGGAGGAGGCCAGTCCTCCTGCTCTCAGGTTCTCGGATCTGGGTCCCCCATACTCATGTCACCAGGGCCAGCTCTACTGTTTTGCCAAGGTGAGGTGCAGGGCCCTTTCTCCCAATTGCTGTAGGAGGTATTTGAGGGAGGGCAGGGTCATCTCTCCTACTCTCACCCCCTCAGGGTCAGCTCTAGTGTGCTGCCCAGGTGAGATGCATGACTATAGTGAGGGGTAAGGCCAGGTCTCCTGCTGCAGAGTCCAGTGAGGGGCAGGGCCTGCTATCCCAGAGCCAGTGAAGGACAGGGCCGGCTCAGCACAGCACAGTTCCCATGACCGCTTACGCTAACATGGGCCGTGGACATCAATCATCACAGACCCTAACCGCAGCAGGACCATGGACCCAGATATGGCCCTTGGCAGTGGCCGGTATCTGAACATCTCCAAGGCGCCTGATGGCAGCACCAGCCACCCAGATCAGCATGGCAGTGGCTCTCAGACACTGACATGATCTGAGATGATTGACCATACCTTGATCATGCCATTGATGGTAACAGGAGCCCCAAACATCAACTCAGGCCCTGGCTGCTGTAGGGCCACGGCCGCAGACATGGCCCTCGGCAGCAATGCTGGCCCAGCCAACACCATGGCTCAGGACGAAAGTACAGGCCACTCAGACCTGACTGCCCTATTTTTTTTAATTGTGCTTTGCTTATCTGTTTGAGTCATTTAATTTCTGACAGAGGCAATCACTGGGTCACTAAGAGGCCTCTTCTTAGCTGTATTTTCCCTATAATGCTAAGGGCCCATGGTTTACCTTATTGTTCTAAAGAAAAAGGATTGCTTTCAAGAGTGCCCTTAAATGTGAACTTCTTCTAGATTGCTCCAAGTAGTGGTGATTTCTTTAGGACCTATCCTAGATAGTTTTATGTCAACTTGACACAAGCTGAAGTCATCTGAGGGGAGGGAATTAAGAAAATGCTTCTGCCGGGCGTTGGTGGTGCATGCCTTTAATCCCAGCACTCGGGAGGCAGAGGCAGGCGGATCTCTGTGAGTTTGAGGCCAGCCTGGTCTACAGAGTGAGTTCCAGGACAGCCTCCAAAACAA